GATGATACAAACAGATGGATATACCATGTTCTTGGATTGGAACACTCAATATTGTGAAAATGACTATACTACCCAAAGCAATCTACAGATTCAATACAATCCCTATCAAATTACCAACAGCATTTTTTACAGAACTAAAACAAAAAATCTTAAAATTTGTATGGCGACACAAAAGATCCCGAATAGCCAAAGCAGTCTTGAGGGTAAAAATGGAGCTGGAGGAATGAGACACCCTGACTTCAGACTATACTACAAAGCTACAGTAATCAAGACAATATGGTACTAGCACAAAAAACAGAAATACAGATCAAAAGAACAGGATAGAAAGCCCAGAGATAAACCCACACACCTATGGTCAACTCATCTATGACAAAGGAGGCAAGGATATACAAATGGAGAAAAGACAGTCTCTTTAATAAGTGGTGCTGGGAAAACTGGACAGCTACATGGAAAAGAATGAAATTAGAACACTTCCAAACACCATACACAAAAATAAACTCAAAATGGCTTCGAGACCTAAATGTAAGACCAGACACTATAAAACTCTTAGAGGAAAACATAGGAAGAACACTCTTTGACATAAATCACAGCAAGATCATTTTTGATCCACCTCCTAGAGAAATGAAAATAAAAACAAAAATAAACTAATGGGACCTAATGAAACTTAAAAGCTTTTGCAAAGCAAAGGAAACTACAAGCAAGACGAAAAGACAACCCTCAGAATGGGAGAAAGTATTTGTAAACGAATCAACGGACAAAGGATTAATCTCCAAAATATATAAACAGCTCAACATTAAAAAAACAAACAACCCAATCCAAAAATGGGCAGAGGACTTAAATAGACATTTCTCCAAAGAAGACAAACAGATGGCCCAGAGGCACATGAAACGCTTCTCAATATCACTAATTATTAGTGAAATGCAAATCGCAACTACAGTGAGGTATCACCTCACACCAGTTAGAATGGGCATCATCAGAAAATCTACAAACAACAAATGCTGGAGAGGGTGTGGAGAAAAGGGAACCCTCTTGCAGTATTGGTGGGAGTGTAAATTACTACAGGCACTATGGAGAAGAGTATGGAGGTTCCTTTAAAAACTAAATGTAGAACTACCACACGACCCAGCAATCCCACTACTGGGCGTATACCCAGAGAAACCGTAATTCATAAAGACATCCCAATGTTCATTGCAGCACTATTTACAATAGCCATGACATGGAAGCAACCTAAATGCCCATCAACAGATGAATGGATAAAGAAGATGTGGTACAATGGAATATTATTATACAATGGAATATTATTCAGCCATAAAAAGGAACGAAATTGGGCCATTTGTAGAGATGTGGATGGATCTGGAGACTGTCATACAGAGTGAAGTAAGTCAGAAAGAGAAAAAAAAATATCGTATATTAACGCATATATGTGGAACCTCAAAAAATGGTACAGATGAACCGGTGTGCAGGACAGAAACTGACACACAGATGTAGAGAACCAACATATGGACATCAAGGGGGGAAAGTGGAGGGGTAGGGGTGGCGATGTGATGAATTGGGAGATTGGGATTGATATTTATCCACTAATATGTATTAAAAAAAAAACAAACACTACTGCTAGTACTTTAAAGACCAAAAGAAAAACTGCATCATCTTATTGCTCTCATCAGTCTAGAACAGAACGTGATGAGACAAAACCATATATACATACCAACTTCATTCCATAAAAAAATATGTAGACACTTAACATGGTAAAATTTGCAAGAAGACAACACAATAAAAAATATATATGGCTCATAAGCATATAGTACAGGACACAAAGAGGCATTTGGAAATGCAGGGGCATTTCAAGACACACAAGTTGTTCAAAAGAAAAAAAATCAATGAAAAATGAGAACTATGGCAGTAAAATAAAAAGACCCTAAGGCCTAAAGAGCTACTAACTTGGAAAAAAAGTACACCTACTCTTAAATGTGCCAAAGCCCTTTAGAGAAAGTTATTAGCAGAATACTTTATAAAAAAAATTATAACATATGGTATCACATAAATATAAGTTGATGTGGAAAACATGTGGGTACTTTTCCTACTTTCACAGTCAGAATTTAAAAATGAGAAAGCAAACCCCAGAGATTACAGACATAATACGAAGGTGAGAAATGTAATCAGTAACTTCAAGGTAGCAGTGGTTAAACAAATCCTGGGCTAAAAAGCTCAAGGAATGGGAAGACGAGGTAAAAGAAATTCAAACAGAACCATAAAGCCTAAAAAGTGGTTAAGAAGCTCGAATCTGTGCCTGGAAAATCACGCTCATATTGCTGTAGTTTAATTATCACCGCAAACAGCATTGAGTAGCTACTAGGTGTCAGGTGTCCTGCTGGATCCTGTTGGGAGTAAAGGCATGAGTCAGGCAGCCCCAGCCTCTAAAAGGTCCGAGTCTACCAAAGGAGACAGGACCATACACAAGTAAATCTATTAGAAAGACAGTTGTGAAAAGGACTGTATGAGACACATAGAGGTTATGGCTGAGGGACAGAGTAGAATATAACACAAAGTCCTGATAACTCTGGACTCAAACAAAGGGGACCTGAGGACTGGTACCAACTTGACCACAAGCAGGCCGTGCATCTCTGAAAAAAACACTCACACTCTCTGCACTGCAGTTCTCATCTTTATACCAGCAAAAGGTGGACTGTGTGATTTCTGTTAGTTCTACACTCTGTCTTTGTGGCTGAGGTTCTTGGAAGTCAGGGCCTGAATTAAGCTATGAATGTTAAGGCTTTATGGGCTAGAAATTGAGGGCACGTATGTACATAGGCAAAGAATGGCAATGGCGTGAGCTGAGACACGAGACCTCATCAACTCACGCGGTAAATGAAAACTGTGTTACCTACTACCTGGGGATTTCACTAATGGTACAGAACATTCTAAATAGACAAAAAAAAGAAAAAGAAAATGGATATAAACTTTAGAAAATGTATAAAAAATTAAACAAAAATAACATGAATTATAAAAACACTGAGAGCAACAGAGGATGCACTAACATTTAAATTAAATATAAAGGAAAGCAAATCTTACACTTCTAACAAATATCATGTCATAATATATAGCAGATAAAGAGATGGAGCTATATTTTAAAAAGTCTGAATATCCATGAACCTTTATCCACGTTTGTCTTTAAAATGTATATATGCAAGGGAAATTTCTTCCTTTACGTATTCAAAAAAGGTTATATTAAAAAGAAAAGAGAGATTGGCAGAATTGCAAGAAAGACTCAAGACTTCAGAAATTCAGTGAGACTGAGTTGCTTCGAGAGAGGATGCCACATTCCAAACTGTTTATTGCAAGAGAAGAATTACTGAGCAGTGCACTCACCCATGCAGCCATCCGCCACCCATCCAAATATATATACACATAGGAACATACAGACATACATTTGACCATACACAATCATTCCCACTAAAAACACAGTAGCATAATAAGAGCCAAGAGGAACATAAGGATGAGTGAGAAACTACGTCTTGTTGCTTAAATGGGGGAACAAAGCTTACATTCTTATAAGGAAGTAGGGAAATATCAGCATCATATGGGGCCTGAGTGCCACATATGCCAGGAAGAGAAGGACCAGCAGCATCGCAGGCTGGGTGAAGACCACAGCCGCACTTCAGAAACTTTGTAGCCACAAAACCACAGAGAATGTCACCTCCTTTCTCTAAGCTTCCATTTCTTTATATGAAAGAATACTTAGTTCATGGGGTTATAGGGAAGGCAATAAAATGACAATGAAAAGCATAGTGCCTCACACGGACTATCTGGTCAGTAGCGGCAGATTAAGAAGAGCAGGAGGGGGCTTCCCTGGTGGCGCAGTGGTTGGGAGTCCGCCTGCCGATGCAAGGGACACGGGTTCGTGCCCCGGTCCGGGAGGATCCCACATGCCGCGGAGCGGCTGGGCCCGTGAGCCATGGCCGCTGAGCCTGCGCGTCCGGAGCCTGTGCTCCGCAACAGGAGAGGCCACACAGTGAGAGGCCCGCATACTGTAAAAAAAAAAAAAAAAGAAGAGCAGGAGGAACAACAAAAGAAGTAGGAAGTTGACAGTCAGAATAAGATGTATGTGGAAACCCAGGGAAGGGAGTGATTACTTCGGATCTAGGTCAAGTCCAGACACTGGAGAAGGTGATACAAATAGGATTGTGACGGGTGACAGAAGGGTGTGAGGTGGCATGTTCAGAAAGGACAAACAGTTGAGCAAAGAGCTGCAGAGGATCAGAGATGACACCACCGTCCCTAGAGAACCAGCTAGACAGTGGGAGAACCTCACAGAGTACAGTGACGAGGATGGGGCATCTCCATTCAGGAAGAGTCGGCCAAGGGGACAACTCACCGGCATTCACAGCACTCGTGGTGAATCTGACCCCTCGTGGAGGGGTCTGAAGTGCAACCATTACCTGCTTCTCTCCTCCCTCTCACATATGCCAACACAATATAGGACCTGCCCCATCCTGCCCCTCGGATGTGCATCGACTGTCATACCTACTAGACTTCCTCACACCTCTGCCTCCTTCTCTCTAAGAAACCCTGTCTTTATTCCCTTCATCTTAGAGGGGAGTCCACTGTCTGGCAGCATTTTTGGACACATGTCCAATGGCAAGAGGGAGGGACGACTGGGTGGTAGACACATTTCTATAAGACAGTGGGATGGGGATGGACGACACAGCAGTAGAAAAGCACTGAGCTATGAAGAGATGAGGGTTCCAGTTTTAGCTCTGGCCCAAACTCACTGTATAACCATAGTCATATAACCCCTAAGAGAACTCAATCTTTATGCCCCAAAGAAGAGCTGCCTACATGGTTACTTGATGCTTTTTAACCTTTGACAGTCTATACACTATGATAACCACAGCACAAAGTCTTGAGCTACCTTTTTCCAACACAACTTTGTACTACAAATCACTTCTTATTCTATTGAACTCCCCCATTTGGGGCACCCACCTCTGTAATCCTTCACTCACCTTCACCGCCAGGTTGCTTGTATGGGTTGTACTTTGGCTTTGGAGCAACGACTGGGGCAAACTTCTTTGGTGGTTGCTGTGTGGACACTGAGATGCTGGGGGTCCCAAAGGAATGGGTGGTCTCCATCCGTGCAGACACATGGCCAAGGGGCTCAGCAGAGCTTTTGGGTGGCAGCCAAGATGGGTGAGACATTGTTGAATCTGGAATTATAAAGAAACACAACAGTCGTTTTTAAAGAAACACAAAAATGAAGGCAATGTATGTATCACTTGGTTATTACTTCTTCTTAATCCATACTTAATAAAATCTTGAAAAAGGACTCTGAGAAGAAGGAAGAGAAGGAAAGAAGGAAGGAAGGAGGGGGGAGG